TTCTCTCTCTCTCTCTCTCCACCCCATTTTTTTCACAAGGGACAGATAAGCACACATCTGATCATGTCGGTGTTATTTTTCCATGATATTCAGTAAATAACTGAAATCAGCTTACACAGGCAAAACGCCGCTCCTTTCAACAGAGTAAGATTATTAAAATTTTAACTCTCAGTAAAAGGCGTGCTAGTTCAGCTGACTCACGGCAACATCAAGCAGTTTACAGTCATGACTAAAAATCAATAAAAGTAATTTTTAAAATCTATAATCACACTGTCTTAATATTTGAAGCTTGAATCATTCATTTCTTCTCTGTTAGTTTGGGCTTCGTTTTATGCAAATTAAGAATAGGATTAAGATAAAATTTTATTGTCCCAGAGGGAATTTTTTTTGGGGTGTACAGGACGGTAAAAACACGTGCAGGTATACATTAAAAAGTAAAATTTTAAAATTATATATTACTAACCTCAATGAAATTTAATATAAAAAGAAAAGTAAAATATGTTAAAAATAGGAGAGGGGTTTAGGGACGTTTGTAATGTTAAAGATAGATGGCTGCGCACAAAGGGGAAAATTGCCTTCTGCATACTAAAGAGGTAAGAGGCTGGATCTTCGAATTTAATGGACATCAGCGAAAGGATTTCGTCAAATGGTCGGAAAGACTTAGAAAAAAAAGCCCAACTCCCTCCAAAAAGATCCCACTTCAGAGCGCCCCGTTCGTCCAATAAGTCCTGAACAATACCAACTGAGAAAACGAGCGTTTTAAGTCACGGAAGCTTTGGACTTAAATCAGTTCGTTTTGCTTATAAGGAGAAGGGGAAGGAGGGAGAGGGGGAGAAGGGGGAAGAGGCCGAGGGGGAGGAGGAAATAGAAAACAGGACAGCAACAGCTACAGAAGCAACAGTAATAATGCAAGGAAACGTACAGTCACATTGTCGTCATTTTCATCACCCTCATCATACTTCTCCTCCATCTCTTTAACAACTTCCTTCTTCTTCTCTTCCTTTTCTTCCTCATACTCCTCCTCCTTCTCATCCTCCTCACCATCATCATCCTCATCATCACAGGCAAAACCAACATCTCCCTGAAAATAAATAACAAGAACAACAACCATCATCATCCTCATCATCACAGGCAAAACCAACATCTCCCTGAAAATAAATAACAAGAACAACAACCATCATCATCCTCATCATCACAGGCAAAACCAACATCTCCCTGAAAATAAATAACAAGAACAACAACCATCATCATAATCATCATCAACGGACATACCAACCACCAACACTTCCCTGAAAATAAATAACAAAAACAACCTGGGTTTTATCAAAAGATACGGCCGGCGACAACCACCCC